CCTAATACTGAATTTTAGTATGCAGAAAATGCCATTTTCATGCACGAATTTTCAAAAATCTCCCTACCGTGGGAGGGGGGATACCCCTCCCACACCCTATACCCCCTCGGTCGCTTCGCTCCCTCGCCTTGGCCCCCCCTGTTTCCAATTGCTGGCTACGCCACTGTATTTAATTATTATACAAATTTGAATTCATTTATTGTGCAAAACTGCAAAATATACAGCTTGTGACGATATATATTATTATATGTGGATAATACAATACAGCGATAGCAATAAAATCAAATGTAATAAAATGTGACCGAGTGGATCAATACAAAAATAAAAAACATTCTGATATATGACTAGCGTACGTATACACAACATAAGTACAACATAAATACACAACTACAATATAATACAATTAATCAATATAAAGAAAAAAATACATATTGTAATATTATAGAGATCGGTAGATGGCGCACACGACCAAAATGGCATCGCCCACTGTAGGAAAACATTTACGAAAGATACCGGTCAGCAGTGCAATGATTAGTGTAAACAGTTTGCTTGCTTTTTCTTTTTTATTATTTCATCATTGCTATGGTTTTGCAGTTAATAATGGAACTGCGGTTACATCCAAGATTTTGGCTGAAGGTATTCTAGCTATAATAATCATAATGATCTCACGTGCACCTTGAGTTTTCGCGCACTCCCTGGACCGTGGACGTTTATAAATTATAGGTGCGGGCGGTGCTACGTCACAGATCAGTAGTCACGTGACCACCAGCAGAACGCCGGTGAAAATAACACGATCGCGTCACTGGCGCCCATAGATTACTGCATAACGATACAAATTATCCGTCACTTGGTTTGGAAGTTTTAATAAGTTTTTTTTATGAAATTTCTTCTAATATGCCTTACGAGTAGGTATATACTACTAGATAGCCTTTCTGTAGATATAATTATGACATTTTGTAAGTCAGTAAGATACAAATTACCCCAGGTCTCGTGAAACAAAAACAAAGTCCAAGATTACACATGCGCACGCACACACGCACACGCACACACAGTGACACACTCACACGCACACGCACACGCACACACAGTGACACACTCACACGCACACGTACACTCACACGCACACGCACACACAGTGACACACTCACACGCACACGCACACACACGCACACACAAGGACACACAAACACGCATGTGCGCACACTCACGCACGCACGCACACGCGCACACAGTGACACACTCACATGCACATGCACACATACACACAGTGACACACTTATACGCACACGCACACGAACACATGGTGACACACAAACACGCACACACACATGCACTCGCACACACAGTGACACACGCACATGCACTCGCACACACAGCGACACACTGACTCACACGCACACGCGCGCAAGCAGTTATAAAATAGTAGTTACCTGTCACAAAATGATCAGAACAAATAGTGGAGAATTTTGACGGACTCCAGTGCGTACCATTTACATTTACTCATTTACTCATTTACTCATTTACATTTAAGTGGCAGTCAGCCACTTATGACTTATCACGCCTCTCTGGACTCATGTCATTAACTATGGCAGCTCAAAAACATATCTTTTCTTATCTGTGCAATATATATGATTGTGACAACCTACTACTACACAAGTTTTCGGCATATATGCAAGGAAATTAATATGCTTTTGGTTTGGAAATGGGGTATTGCGTGTGTAAGCTCACAGAGACAGGCTGTTGTTTTCACCGGCACAGCTGGTTGCTAGGTTAAGAAAGTCCCGGATGTGGCAAAGTTCCCGTATGTCCGCCCGCACCTATTCCTTACGGACTGTCCAGTATAGAAGTAGAAGTAGAAAGTGAGTAACTTAGTGTCAATACTACACAATACTATAGTGATGATGTCGATTGTCAATGTTATTGACAATGTCATTGACAATGTCAATGATACCAGCTCTAGTATACTACAAAGTACTATACTCTATAGCCCTTGTTCGCCACAAACCTATGACAAACCTAACCACTGCACCAAACGAACGTTTAGCATGTGGAAAACGAATGTTGGCGCTGCCATATTTGATCACGTGCTTCAAATCATGCATTTGATTGGTTAATCCAAAAACTGTTGCCTGAATCCGTCGCCAGTGCAGCGCACACGTAGCGATTGTTCAGCGACTTGGCAACAAATATCAAACGTGTTTGATATTCCAGCGACGAGTTTCTGGCGTCAAAATCGCCATCGCCATGCAGCGCACAGGTGGCGATTTCTCAGCGATGCCAGTGCTAGCGATAAAAATCGCCACGTGTGCGCCCGGCTTTAGCATATAAGCGAAACCGCGCGTGCATATTGGCTAATTAATTAGACTAATCGCGCTTCAATAGACTCAAAATTCACAGAGATTAAGGCTAAGACATGTGTCTATAATAGCTAGAACTTATAGAAATGTAACTCAAATCGTTCGCTCCATATGATAGTTAGTACACGTTCCTACCGGTCATAGCATAATAGCGTAACGCGGCGGGAGTGGGCGGGGTCTATTTTTATCCTCCAATCACAGGTCGGAGCAATTCCTCTGTTTAGACGCATGTCTACAGACTACCCAGAGATATCTCATTGAATTCCTGCGCAGAACTCCCACTCCCCCAGTCCACGGCAATGTACATAATGGTAAATGGAGAAGCCAGTGCTTAGTAATACATGAGTAATACTAATAGTGCCCATTTGCATTCTGGGTTCATGCACTCTCTGCTTCTGAGCTCCCATGTCGAGGCCCGCCGAGCCAAGCTAGCATGATGTCTGTGAGAAAGACGTCACACACGGCCACGTTCATTGGCAAAACAATCGAGTAGCACGGTTAGGGTGTTTCGGATGATAAACAGGCTCTTGCTCCCATTTACATTACCTAAGCCTATCTTTGAGTTTGATGCAAATATATATTGGACATTATTGGTTCAATGATTTCTATTCAGATCATGCGAAAAAGATTATACAACATATACTTCATGGAAATGGGAAACATCAAACATATAACAGGCTTGCACACTTTGTAGACAAGTTTGGATATAGGATTACTGGATCTGATAACCTTGAAAATTCTATTGGTGAGTACTATATACCTTTTAATCCAATGCAATATTATGCAACACAACGCACTTTCAGTGAACCATACAAAATGACATCATTATTTTACATTTATGATGAGTATATGGAAGAAATTATTCTACTCAGTGTCATTAATTCCTGTCAAGCAAATTGCTATGTAAATCATTAAAACTTGTCTGTGTACACTGTTTGCACGGATTCTAGCAATTCTCAAGATTAGCTGGCTATAATTTACACGATTCCAGTGAGAAGTTTAATCACTGGAAGTTTCTTGACAAAAAAACTGTCTAGCAAATGTCAGAGTAATACGTTCACACTTGATGATGTTCCAGATTTATTCTAAGTATGTGAATGCTGCTTTTTCAGATTACATGCTTCATCATTTACAGAGTGAAGGTTTGGATAACGTGCATGGGGAATCCGTCTGGGTACGTAGCGTCATGTCAGGACCAGACCTTCCAGAGTGGGTGGGGCAAGGGGGCAGCTGCTACTGTAAGATTTTGATGCAAAATATATTTACATTTTTAAATGTAAGTAACCTTGAATTAAATGTCATTCTTAGTGCAACAAGGAAGTCATCCGTTTAGCCAAATGTACAATCATGCATATGGTTGTGATTTATTTCTTGAAACGATTTTGAAAACCATTTGAAATTTCTCACATAATAGTGCAACATAGGGGCTGCCCCCCAGGTTGGATACCCCCTGGCTCATGTTGTGCCCCCCCGGACGCCCCGTCCTTGTGCAAACCGAAGGTTTGAGTTAATATATGCAGCGGCACGCTCCCCCTACTGGCCATTTTTACAAGACGGGGATAAATCATACAAGAATCACCTGGGAATTCGACTACTCTCAATTCGTGGGCAACAGTGACTGGC